AATACCTTGCTCCTTCAGCGCCTCCCAGACCTTTACTGGCTCCACCGAGTCGAACGCCTTCTTGTAGTCAATGAAGGCGAGGAATGAAGGCTCCCACGAACCGGGGAGCCTCGATAAGACGTCGGCAAGTTGCGATGTGGTCGAGGGTACTGAAGTTTCGACGAAATCCGCTTGTTCTACCGATTGAGCCTCTTATAGGGTCCCACGGACTCGTGCCAGTTACAGCGTGTGAATACTTCATTACGTACTGGCAGAAGCGTGATAGGACGATAGTTCGCTAGATCTTCTTTGTCGCCGTTCTTGAACAGCAGCACCGTCAAAGACTGCTTCCACGCCGTTGGACCGTACACTCCGCCAGGTAGCGAGTGCATCGCCTTGCAAGTGCTCGATATAAAAGAAGCCCTCACGCTTGTAGAAGCTTCACGGAGTTGTCGTCTTTCCCGGCGCCTTGCCTCGAGGCACAGTTTCAATCGCATGACGCACCTTTAACGAAAACTAAGGCAGCGTTTCCTCCAGAACTGATCTTTTTTTCTCGCAATTGGAAGGTCCGATATGAACAGAGCGGAGTAGAACGTTGTCAAGATTTTTTCCATTCCAGGTATGGAGCAGCAACGAGCTCCATTCGCAGTTTTTGAGCACGAAATCCTCAGACGGTGCTCGGCTATCTTTCTTCTCACCTTCCTTAAACTCCGCCTAATCTCTGCCTCATCTAGGAGTTTCGATCTTGCAAAATTGGCGTGACCTTCAGCAATTCGTTGCCTACACAGCCTACTTAGCAAAGCGTACTCCACATGGTTTTCCTGTCGATCCATATTTCTTCGCTTTTCGAGTAGTGCACGAGTAGACGAGAACTGTTTGCGATTTCGGTTACGGTTTGTACGAGGTTCTCGTAGTCAGCGTCGATGTCATATCACTTCAAACAACTCTTCTTCTGCAAGCCTCCTGACCGCATCTTCGTCCAGCATAGTGGGGCACGGCTGCCTTGAGCGTATGCGCGTCAAGCCGCAATCA